TTTTGACTCATCTGACATTCAATTTTGATCAGATTCTAAATTTCCTCGACAAATCATGTAAATTAACCCTCAAACTTGTCAAATGGTGTTAAATAAGCCCCTCAACCCAAAACAAACACATCCCCCACCTTATCCTTTTCAAAGGTGTTAAATAAGCCCTTACCGTCATTAAGCCATTTGAAACTAACGGAGATATGCATAGAGTGGGATCCACTGAATGATGCGGTGTACTGCTGGATTTTTTTTTATGAGCTGGCCATCACTTCGATGATTAGGTGAACAACTCAACAAATTAGCAAACACTTTGTCAATTTTGGGGGCTAGTTAGAAGAGGGAACTTTTGAAACCCTAATTCTTTTTCTATTTAAATAGATTTAGGAACAAACACAATGAGAACCGTATATTCTCAGACTTTGTAGATGATGAAATCTCAAGATTTGCTCCTACAATACTAATAGGCGGTGCTTTTTGAGATAATCAAGCAAATCTCAAGGTTTTGTTCTTGGCTAACTCGTAAGTGTCACTTTTTCTTTTATTTGCTTCAATCTGAAAAAGTGTGAAAGTCATGGCTTTTCTACTGTAAGTATCATGTTTGATGCCCCACTTGTCTTTATTATATTTTGAAAAGCTATTGTCTTTACTCGTGTCTGCATATGTTCTTTACAGCAATGGCCACTTCTGTTGGTGTTTTGACAATTTTTCATGGGGAAACATTTGACAAGGGCCCACCTATTGACCATGTTAGCAATGCAAGGTTCCAAAAGGGGATGGTCTGTTCATTGATAATGTTACTGGACTACAAATTCTAAATGTGAAGAGAGTTATATGTACTAGCTAATTCTAATTTGTATTATTGGTTAATGTTTGTTTGTGATTATTACATGCATGCTAAATATAACTGCTTTTACTAGTGGTTCATGATGTTCTTGCAGTTTGGGAAAAAGAGAAAGCAGCAACTTATATCAAAAGGAAATCAAAATGCAAAATAGAAGGCGTAAAAGGACAGAAAGAAAAAAAATGATTGAATAGCAATGGAAAATAGAATTTTTAATTTTTAATTTAGATTATTATAAATAATTGTGGTTATGGTATATATTATTCAGACAAGATTTTATTACATCTTTTTTGTTAATAATTAAGACAAATTTTAAGGATATAGACAAATTTTTACTATTTTTTGGTTAACAATTTAGAGGATTGCATTTGTAACTAATGTCTAAAAAAAAAAAAATACCCAACATGGAAAATGTATCGACACTACCTTTGTGGGTGTCGATGCTAGGCAGTAAGATTTTGCTGAAAACTCATAGCAGAAGTGTCGACACGAATATACGGAAACCAGTTCCGCCAATATCTCTAAAACTAGCTGAGTTGTTCGTCTAATCATTGAAGTGATTGCCAGCTCCTCAAAAAAGAATCCAGCAGTGTGCCACATCACTCAGTGGATCCCACTCGATACACATCTCCGTTAGTTTCAAATGGTTTGATGACAGTAAGGGCTTATTTAACAATATTTCTGTTAGTTTCAAACGGTTTGATGATAATAAGGACTTATTTAACACCTTCGAAAAGTATTAAGGTGGGGGATGTGTCTGTTTTGGGTTGAGGGGCTTATTTGACACCACTTAACAAGTTTAAGGGTTAATTTGCATGATTCGCCAAATTTCCTCTCACATGTTTTCTTTTTTGCAATCCTCTGGTTCCAAAGGCAGGAATGAAAAGAGAAACAATTGAATATGATTGAACAAAGCAGCAATATTTTGACTCAAAAAGACCAAAAAACCAAACTCAAGTGACCGGATAAAATGCAATAGCAAGAGGAAAGTCACATTGAGTTAATAGACTTAAACATTAAATACCCATTTCAGCCCCGGCTAAAAGTAAAGAGAATAGCAAGGTTCAGGGATTAAAAAGGGAAACAAAAAAAATATTTTTTGTAAAAAGACCAAAAGGTCAGGGTATAAGGACAAAGGGAGAAAGGGAGAAAGGGACAGTCAAGGGTAAAATAGGAAAAAAAACTGTGAGAGGGAGGAAAGTTACTGTTCATCTTGCGAGGCAAGTCTTCCACGCATTAACTATTTAGATATTCACTTTTGCAATAGTATTGAAGAGGAAAAAATTGTAATAATCACAAATTTTACTTGTTAGAATTGAATTCAAAATTTACAGGACGTGTGTAGACTTACTATACAAACAGTTTCTTCCTCCAATGAGAAGTCTTGCATCTGCCCGTAGTGGCGGTGAAGAAAGTGGCAATTTCAGAATTCAAAGATTCTGCTAGATCCTATGTCCTCACTCAGCATTCAAAAAGTTTAGCTCATAATTCAAGCCCGAAATGCCTATTTCTCACTTTTCATCTGAATTCATTCTGAACTCCTTTTTCACCTTTGCATTCAATAGAGTGAAACTCTTCCATAATAAGCTCAAACAGAGAGGCTTGAGATGCGACATGCAAAAGTTTAGCTTAGCTGAGAGTCAATCCAACATTTTCTCATTCCAGACGACTGTTCCAGCGGAGTAGATGCCCAACTGAAACTTTGAAAACATCATCGCAAGAACCTGTGGTTAGGAAGAAAATGTCAAATGAAACAGCTATATCAAGAGTTGCTACAAACAGAAGCATGATGCAGTTCAAGGCAGCAAACTCTTACCATCTTGTATATGCCAGAAATCAGATTTTGTATTCTAATTAATTTCATATAGTCTAACATGTATTTCTGGTTAAGTTTACTAGCAGCTCAATTCAAACATTAAAAGAAGGAGATCTAACCATGTTGTGAGATGTAACCAGTTGCTGCTGTTCGAAAGACCACTGCCAACACTCCGGCCGTGTTGGATAACCCTGGCAGTACTCCCTGAAGCAATAAATGCAATAAATACAATATAAAAGGTGAAACTGTTATTTGCCTCAGAAAAGCTTAAGGTTGTGTTCGGATGAAGGATTTTGTGGTGGGATTTCATAATAAGAAGAAGATGGGAAGAAAGGATTTTCAAATTCTTTCTTTTTTGTCAATGGTGGAGTGAGATTATAGGTTAAGAGGAAAATGAGGAACTGAACAAGGGATTTCAAAATAACACTTAAAGAATATCGAGGGGCAATATCTTGATGGTTTGAATATAGACCAGACTGTGACAATGTATCAGTTCCCTATTTAAGACAAATGAAATATTAAATAATTGATCAACCGCATACCTTGACCAATTACCCAGAGCATCATGATATCCAAGTTTCAAAGTCTTGTGAATGGCAAGAAGCATACCTGACTGCATGCCATACAAAAAACAGCCATTGCTGGAGAATCAACATGGCTCAGCTGAGTGAGGAATAAAGCAGGGCCCAGAAATCCAATTGTTTGCATGATCTGCAATGGAGGACAGAGTAAGCAATATATTACATAAGCTTCCCAGGAATCATTACTAAGGAAACTATAGTTTTTAAGTGTGCAACAGAGCACAAGTGAAACAAAGTGCACATGAACAAAGGGATGTGCATGCCAGATGCCACCATGTAAATGTGTATCAATCATCAAAAAAAAAAAAAAAGAAAAAAAAGAAAAGGAAGATGAAGAAGAAGAAGAAGAAGAAGATGATGATGATGATGATGATGATGAGGGGATTATCAGATTTTTCATAAGGGAAATGAAAACAAAATATTATGAGAAAACTAAAGATAGCTTGCGAACAGTAGTCACAGATAAACCTCTGCTCACAATTGCATCTGCAATCCACCCTCCCACATTTGTAGAAAAAGCCACTGTAAGCCAGGGCAAAACAGAAAAGAGTCCAGATTCCGTCAGATTGAATTTCAAGACCTGTGGTGTTATTAAGAGAAGGGAAAAAAAAAAGAAAGAAAAAAAACCACCTCTACTAATACCATGATCGGAAGCAACAATTTCTCTTTTTCAAACATAGCTCAAAGAATAATCACTACATAATCCCAAAACCACTTCCAGCTTCAGAAGTTAAAAGCAGAAACCAGTTTCTTGGTTGCTTTAGTACAATTATGTTATATATATAAAAGTAAATGACACAGGAGAGGATAATCTATCAGAGCCTTGAAGTTCCCCTTACCGCGTGGACATTCACGAGTTGCAAGAACAAATGAATTGCACATTCAAAAGAACACAATGTCTTACTTGGTGATAGTATGTTCGCATCCATGTTAGAAGAATAAATGTCCCCCAATTGTGACGGAAGTGAGACATAATCAGGGCCCAACAGGTGGTTTTGACAAGATCAATCTCCAGGGGATTGTTTTGACAGGTTCCTTGGAAACAAATTTTTTAACAATAAGCTTCTTCTCGTGAGGCCTCAGTTCAAGATCTTCCAAAGGTGTACTATGTGCCTAAACAAAGAAGAGAAAATATAATAACAGAATAGAGTAAAAACTTGCGTCAGAAGGTCTCACTATAGCAACAAACAACTGAAAGTAGACTACAACTACGCTATTTGCCTTCAACCTTCAATCAAACATATTATGTGCATGATGTGAAATTCCATTACAATTTCAGCTAAGTCAAAATTCTGCAAAAGTAACATGTATGCTAAAGATTATCTTAGTTGAATAATGGTTACCTTGTTTAGCCATACAGCAAACCAGACTGTTCCCAGAGAACCAAAGGCGTAAAAGACTGATGGCCATCCAAACTTATGTATTAAGAAAGGTGAAAAGGCCAGACCAGTAACTAGGCCAAGATTCATCCCACTGTATACTAGAGTTAGTGATCTGCTTTTTTCGGCTACGGGAACCCATTTTGACAGAATATTATTCATGGCAGGTATAGCAACACCCTGAAACAAAAGCAAACCTTCAATTACATGCCATGGGGATCAGGTCAATACAAAATTTGAAAAGACTAAATAATAGTTACCATCCCCTCTTGAAAACAGGTTCCACAATGGCATTTTTGAAATAAACATAATCACAGAAAATTGAAGTTATAGTTGCCAGAAAATTAAAGAACCAACCTCACCAATTCTCATGAAAGCACGAACAAGAAGTAGGAATGGAAACCCAATTTTGGCAGCAACAGGAGTGTTAAGACGTAAACACAATTATTCCGATTATACTCATAATTATTGTAAATATTTTATAATTTAAAATATTTTCTTTATGTTTTAAATTATTCTCTTTATAAACACTTATATATATGTAATTGTACATACAATATTATTCAATAAAACAATAAACCTTTCTTCAAATTATCCCTCTTCTTTTCTGTTTCTAATATGGTATCAAAGCTATAAGCTCCTAGTTCTTTTCTCTTATCATCGTTGTTTGGTTTTTTGGAGTTGGATTTTCAAATCCGTTCTAAATCTGAAACTTTGTTGTTGAAATCTCTTCTCCTACAGATTGGATTGTTTATCCTCGATTCTCAGGCTCTTTCAAAGGTATCTTGTTGGTTTGTTATTTCAATCTTGACATCTATTTCTTCATATTTTTAGAGTTTTTTAGTATTATGAGTTTTGAAAGGACTGTAACTCATCCTGCTATTGCTATGGTTGCTGAAGAAGTGATAGACCAACCTAATGTCAATCTTGAATCCCTAAAACAAGTGATATTAAATCTTTTTAATGCTCTTATCGCCTTATCTACGGCTCCAGGTACCAAATCTTGATATTTTGATTCTGGTTGTTATAATCATATGTCTTCAATTACTACTCATTTCTCTTCAATGTCACCAAACAATTCCTTTCCTAATATTTATTCTAATGATGGTATCCCTATGAATGTTAGTCATATTGGCAATATTTCCACAAAGTCATTAACTTTACCAAGTGCTCTCTTAGTTCCAAAACTTAGTTATAATCTTCTATCTATTAGTCAATTATGTGATCTTGGTCTTGAAGTAACACTTTCTACTCATGGCTGTCGTATGCAGGACCCATGGATAGGACAATTTCTTAGAATTGGTTGTAAGGTGGGGTGTTTGTTTGAACTCAATTATCTGCATATTCTACATCATAAAATGGATACACCATCATTTCCAAATGATCGCTTCATCTAAACCTTACTGTATGCTATTGAATTAGAATCTTTACAAATTCCATACCAGCAAATTTTCCAAGCCTGTATTACTACTAACATTTCTCCCCTTTAGTTGTGGTACTCACGGCTCAGACATACCTCAGTTGGTAAACTCTATCCACTTATCTCTCATGGTTTATTAAGATCTATTCCAAATGAATCCTTGCATTGTGTGTCATGTCAATCTGCAAAGCAACCAACTTTATCATTTTCGAATAATCATTCTCATTCTACTTCTCCTTTTGATCTCGTGCATTCTGATATTTGGGGTCCATCTCCTACACCCACCATGGGGTGTTCTAGGTACTTCGTGTTATTTATTGATGATTATACTTGTTTTACCTGAATATACCTTATGAAAAATCATTCTAAATTATCAAAAATTTATATTGATTTTGCTACCATGATCAAAATTTAGTTCTTTAAAATTATCAAAGTTTTGAGGATTGATAATGTATTGAATATCTAGGTATTAAACTTTAATCTTTTTTGAAAAAACAGGGTACACTGACACAATAATCTTATCCTTACACTTCTGAACAAAATGGGCGAACCGAACACAAACACAGACACATCCTTGATTATGTTCGTGTTTTGCTCATTTCATCTTCTTGTCGAGACCGATTTTGGGGTGAAATTGTTCTTACAGCTGTTTATCTTATTAATCACATTCCATCATCAGTCCTTAATAACCAATCTCCATATGAGCATTTTCATGATATTTTTCCTGTTTATAATCTTCTTAAGGTTTTTGATTGTACATATTGTGTTCTTCTTCCACCTTATGATCATAACAAGTTAAGAGTCTAGAGCTTGATTATGTTATTTTTGGGATTATAAGATTATATAAAAGGATATCGTTATTGGGATTCTGTGTCATAAAAACTCTGAGTTTTACATCATGTTATCTTTTGGGAACACACTATGTTCTCATTATCATCAAACTGCAAAGTGACATCCTCTCATCAAATTATCCCTCTTCTTTTCTGTTACTAACAAGAAGTAAGAACAGTAGCAATAGACCACCAAACTACGCCAAAAGCCAGGACTGACTTCCCACCGTGTCCGCCCATATGCCACCAGCAATCTGTCACTGACGACCACAATCAGAGTAAAACCCAAAACAGTCTACTCATTCAGATAAGAACTGGAAGTGATCTTAAAACATTGAATTACCTGAGTAAGAAGGTACCCCAGAAGAAAGATGACTATATCAAACCAACAGTAGTTGAAGTCCAATTGAACTCTGCCGACATGGGCAGTATGGCAATGCTCATATTTACCTGCGAAACAAAATCTATTCAAATTTGACAAAGGAAGAATTAACAAATTCCTCCGTGGGAACCTAAGTTAAGAAGAAAAATGTAGCGGAAGCTTACTCTATCCATATTACACAACAAAAATGCCGAAAACACAAAATCACGAAAACGGAACGTTTCGGGAACTGCTCCCACCACGGGATCGAACCCTCCAAATCCTCCGCACACTATATCTTCTAACCCATCTTTAAATTTCACCGACTCCCTTATCGACTCCGGCATTTCTCTAACATCTGCGTATACTTTCCCGTTCCTTCTCCTGCCCAAATTCCACACCGAAACTCGGAAAACATGGAACCGATTGTGGACCCCGACCCGGAATTGGGTCCGAAGAGGGGATGCTTTGTTCCTAGTGGAAAAATCGGGTGGGTTTTTGGGTTTATGGAGAGAGTGGAAATTAGGAGAGAAGAACAGAGCTCCGGCGTTCATGGCTACTGTTTTCCGTTCACCACTTCAATAACGGCAAAAGCCTAAAAATAGCCCCTTACCTTGATAAGTTGGACGGTTTTAGCCCCTCACCTTATAATATAACGGTTTTAGCCCCTAACCTATAAGAATGGAAGAAAATAGCCCTCATTTCTAACTT